GAAGTGGACGGCTGCTGACTTTGGTCTCGGTTCTTCCTGCCCCTGCAGGAGGAGGTGAGGTGGGAGCTGAAGAGGGTTCCTTGCTATATAGAAAGTGGGGCTGACATTTATTTCCCAAACCCCTACTCTACCCAGGCCCCGTGGCCTTCAACGTATCATTTTATTTTATCCTCACGACCCTTGCATTAGTTAGAAGATGTCCCCATTTTATGGATGCGGAAAGCAAGGCTCAGAGAGTTTAAGGGATGTATGGAAGGGATATGAACCTGTGTCTTCCTGACCCTGAAGCCTGTGCTTGTCCACCCAACCACTCGGCTTCAGAGAACTAGAACTAACAGATGTTGCAGCTTCTTGTTTTGGGATGGAATGGAGGAGTCCAGGGGCAGGGAGGGTAGATGGGGAATAAAGGACCCCAAAAGCCAAATTGTGAGAGAATAATAATAGACCTCTATGGCTTTTACAACATCAAAGAACTATTATAAAAGCAATTCTGCCCATTGCATAAAATTGGAAAAAAATCAAAGCATGTAAAAAAGGAAATACCAGTCTCCTAAGGCAAATCATCACTATCATTGGGTGCGTCCTTCTAGTATTTTGTGATATTGTATTCTGTCTTTAGAAAATATAACTCTATAGGTTTCTCTAATCATGAAAGACCCTCTTTGCAAATATCACAAGTGAAAATAACTTTTGTAAGAATATAAATATATTAATATTTAGTATAGAAATTATGGAAAATACAGATGTGCAAAAAGAATAAAGATTATTCACATTTTTACCATTCAGGGGAAACGACTGTTAACATTTTGATGTATCTACACACAGACATATATACACATATGTGTGTATATAGTCACATGTAAGTACACATATATATTTACAAAAATGAGATAAGACACATTCTTTTCAAAAATTGATTGTTTTTACCTAATATAACATGGATAGCCTTTTTGAGTCAGTTCATATAAATCTATGTTGTCCTTTTTAACAGCTACATAGTCTATTCGGAAATATCATGATTTATTTACCCAGTCCTCTAGGGATGAATGTCTAATTTATATCTGCCTTTCTTATTGAAATAATAAAAATAAATAATCATTAAGAACTATACTTGATAACAAAAGAATAGAACTTAATAATTGCTCCCAACATTTCTGCAATACAATCTTTTAATGACAGTATAATAGTCCTTGCAGGCTAGACCATGATTTCCTTAACTATTCCCCTATCATTGGATGTCATTTCCAGTCTTGTACTACTGTAAATATGCTGTGATGCGTATCTTTTCTCCAAAGCCCTGCCTGCACCTCAGGTTATTTCCTTGGGGTGATTCTTAGTTGGTTACTTAGTGGGTTACCTACTTACTTGACCTCCGCATCCCTTTCCCACAGGCTTACCTCTTCCCAGCTATGGCCATTTTCAAGGCAGAAGATGCCAGTGGGGAGGCGGCAGCCATGCTGAACAATATGCGTGTGTATGGCACCTGCGTGCTCACCTGCATGGCCACCGTGGTATTTGTGGGCGTCAAGTATGTCAACAAGTTTGCCCTTGTCTTCCTGGGTTGTGTCATCCTCTCCATCCTGGCCATCTATGCCGGGGTCATCAAATCTGCCTTTGACCCACCCAACTTCCCGTAAGTGCTACTGCCCTGAGCTTCAGGCATCCTCCCCCTCCTCCCTGGACTGGTTTCAGGGTCTTCACACTAGTGTCTGCCAACCCCCCTGCCCCCATCTCTCAGAATCAGAGTGGTTGTGGATTTACAATAAACTCCCGTGGGAGGGAAAACCTCTCCTGGTTTAAGGGAAATCTCTTTAGGATGGGATAACATTTTTTGGAGGTGTGCACAGTTTTCCTTGTGAGGGTCAAGGGCTGGCTGGTGAGGTGGACTTAGGAAGAGCCAAGTGGAACAATGTCTAAAGGGAAGACCGGTCTGTGTTAGGTAACCTTTCTTGGGTAGAGACAACCTTCTGGAATGTGACAACCTCTTAGTATTAAACACCTTCCCTATCATGGGAAAGGACATAGAAGGGAGGGTCTCGGGGCTCAGATCCCTGTTGGTTCTGCCTCTCTCCCTAGGGCACATTCCCCTACATCCCACTGCCCAGAAGAACGGCACACGGAGACTGCTGTCCACGGTGCTGAAATAGCATCGCCCGAAAGCAGTGGTTCTCTGCCGTGGCTGCATATTAGAATCACTTGGGGGGAGGGAATTCCCTGGTGGTCCAGGGATTAGGACTCCCAGGGCCTGGGGGAAAGAAAAGAATCACTTGTGGGGAGCTTTGAAAGAACACAGATCCTGGGCTCCATCCCAATTAAATCAGAATCTCTGGATATGGGGCCCTGGCATCTATGTTTTTCGTGCTCCCATGGCGGTTCTACTGTGAAACCAGGGCAAAGTTACGTCCCTCACCACCCTCCTCCCTTGTTTCTCTCCCTAGGATCTGCCTCCTGGGGAACCGCACACTGTCTCGCCATGGCTTTGATGTCTGTGCCAAGCTGGCTTGGGAAGGAAATGAGACAGTGACCACACGGCTCTGGGGCCTTTTCTGCTCCTCCCGATTCCTCAACGCCACCTGTGATGAGTACTTCACCCGAAACAATGTCACGGAGATCCAGGGCATTCCTGGCGCTGCCAGTGGCCTCATCAAAGGTCTGAGGGAGGGAAGAGGTCTGGTGTCCAGGGAATGCTGCAGGGATTGTGGCTTAAACAGGATTAAGGGACTCCTTGGGATTCAGTTAAATTCGATCAGTTTTAATTGAGCACCTACTCTGGGCCATGTTCTATCCTTGGGATCACGGAGAGGTAGAATTGAAAGGGAACCTTCGTGTTCTATCCTTGGGATCACGGAGAGGTAGAGATGAAAGGGAGCCTTTGCGTACCTAGGAAAGAAAGTTATCAGCTTAACAAGTATTCGCTAAGTACCTGCTAACTGCCTAGCACTGCACTGGGCACGAGGAACACAACATAAATAAGTCACAGTTCTTGGCCTCAAGGAGTCTGATAGCAGAGGCAGAAGTAATAGCAAATACATTAGGACATGTGTAGGTGTGCATTCAATGAACAGAGACCTCCCAAGGGAGGGAGTGGTCATGTGTATAAGGTGGTGAGACCAAGCTTCCTGGACTCATCTGAGAAGGGTTTTGAAGGGCAAATAAGAGATTTTCAGTTATACAAAGGGAATAAGGGAATTACAGGCAGAAGAACAGCTTGCCTAAAAGTATGCAGACACAGAAGAGCATATTGTGTCCTTCCAACCACAGGTAATTTGGTGTGACTGGGGCATCAAGTACAAAGGGAGGAGGGGAATCAAGAAATGATGTTGGAGAGGCTGGCGTAAGCCTGACTGTGGTCAGCCCTGGAAGCCACGTTGAAGGGTTTGGACAGTGTTCTGAGGGCAACGAGGAGCCACCAAAGGGTTCTGAGTGAAGGGACGGACTGGGTCAGCTTGTTGCTTGTGAAGGTTCACTCTGGCGCTCACGTGGATGGGCTGAAAGCAGAGAGGGGACCGAGTCAGGGAGTCTAGGAGGAGGCTGACGCTGGGTCCAGGTGAGAGCTGGTGGTTTTCTTACCTGGAGTGACGGAGTGACAGCAGTGGGAGTGGCACAGTGGCTCTCCACCAGGGCTGTCTTGCCCCCCAGGAGACGTGTGGCAACGTCTGGAGACATTTTGGGTTATCACGACGGAAGGGTTATTACTGGCATCCGGCGACGGAGGCCAGGGATGTTCTTCCACACCCTACAGTGCTACAGGACAGCCCTCCACACAAGAATTGCCTGTTCTCATCACAGTTATTGCTAAATTTGACGTTTAGTGCAGAAGTGGAGGAACCCTGGAAAGGAGAGAAGGGGCATATTTGAGAAATATTTAGGAGGAATAAGGGACAGGAGTTGGAGATTTTTGAAACGGAGATGGGGAAAGGGTGCAGTTGAGGGTAATGTCAAGCTCTCTGAGTTGATGGTAGTGTCATTTACCAAAATAAGGGATATAGGAAAGGAGCCATTTGGAGTGAGTAGGTGGTGAGATCAGTTTGGGACACACTGAATCAGCCTGAGATGTGTGTGTCTGTGTCCCCCAGTAGACTGGACCATTTGAGGGCAAGGACTAGATCTGATTCATGTGCAAAGCCCCTGCACATGACCTGGCCCAAAGCGGGAGCTTCGGAAGTGTTGGTGGAAATAAGGCCCAGGGGGAGTGAGAGGTGGTTGACCCTGACCCTTCTTTCTGCCCACCCCACCTCCTGGCCCCAGAGCTCTGGCACCCTGACGTCTGGTCTTCTCCTTGAGCATCCTGTCTCTCCCACAGAGAACCTCTGGAGCTCCTACCTGACCAAGGGGGTGATTGTGGAAAGGCGTGGGATGCCCTCGGTGGGCCTGGGAGATGGTACCCCTGTCGACATGGACCATCCCTATGTCTTCAGCGATATGACCTCCTACTTCACCCTGCTGGTTGGCATCTACTTCCCCTCGGTCACAGGTGAAGGGGAGCTCAGAAAGGGAGGACTCTGGCTGGGAGTGGATGGGTAGGGAGAGAGTCAGTCACGATGTGGGGAATTTCTGAGTCCAACAGCCCCATTACATAGGCAGGAGCCAACAGTTCAGTTCCCACTGGACAGACAGGTGAGGGAATTAAGGCCCGGAGAAGCCAAGTAACAAGTCCAAGGTCTCATAGGAGTCAGTGGACCAGGACTAGATCCCCGGCTTCCTGACTCTGAGGCTGATGTCCTTTCTTCTCAGTCTGTCTGGTCTCCTGTGGCTCCTGTCCTAGCTGCTCCTCTGTTCACAGGGATCATGGCTGGTTCTAACCGCTCTGGGGACCTGCGGGATGCCCAGAAGTCAATTCCCACTGGCACCATCCTGGCCATCGCCACCACCTCCGCTGTCTGTATCCTTCACTGCTGGGCAGGGACCACCGTGTGTGGGGAGGGCTAGACGGAGGGCTTCTGAAGCTGCCGCCTCACCTGGCTGGCTCAGGAGGGGTGGGGAGGAAGGACAGCGCCACCCTGGGGATTCTCCTTCATCCTCCGCTGCAGACATCAGCTCCGTTGTTCTGTTTGGGGCCTGCATCGAGGGGGTCGTCCTTCGGGACAAGTAAGTAAGGGGATCAGGGAGGATCCTGTTCTGGGGGAGCGGGGGGGGCATGGAGGGCCGGGTTCTGGGAAACAGGCCTGGCAGGGTAGTTGAAACGTGGACAAGGGGCCTTGTGGGAGGGAGGCCACAGGGCTTGCCTGTCAACTCACTTTCTTATAATTCACCTTTCTCTTGTCACTCCAACTCAAGAAGTATGAGCGGTGTCTGATTTCCTTTAAGATAACGATACTTTCCTTTCCTTTTTCTTTAAAATCTACTAATTCATTTACTACTTCCTGGATGTCTATGTGTTAGCTACTGTCCAGGGTTCTGGGGGCAGGGATAAATAACAAAGATAAATAACTAATGGTTTTTGTTCTGAAGGAGCTCTTTGGAGCTGGTCACCATACTTGTCAACAGACTTGAAACGCAGAGCAGTAGGGGTGGCGATAAAGCAAAGCCTGGGGGTTATGGAGGCTGCGATCCAGTCCCAGAGGGTCGGGGAAGAGGAGATGCTGTGGGAGTGCCTTATACACGCTTTCTCATCACTCCTTCCCACTTTACGTGCTGAGTGGTAGAGACTACCTAGGAAAGTAGGAGGGGGAAGGGCACTCCAGGCAGTGGGAACAGCATGGCCAAAGTAGAGGGGACCCAGAGCTGTGTGTGCGCGCGCACGCGTGTAGGGGTACCAGTAGCTGTAAGCATTCAGAGCTTCTGGAGCACACACCTCTGGAGGGTGTGTGCATACACGACCAGCGGGGTGAAACAGGAGGTCCTGTCACAGAAACCAGTTTCCGAGGCGCCATTCTGGCTTCCAGGAGGTGGGGACATGAGGCTGGAGACCTAGGCTAGGGCCAGTCCTGGACGCCTGGGTTTTGGCACCAGGAAACTGGAGCTTTACTTTATAAAAAATGGGGGAAACCCTGAAGGATTTTAAGTAGGGAGGTGACCTGGCCAAATGGGCAATTCGCATATGTCACACCTATTAGCTTTTAGGGCAACTTAACCTCCATTTATCTCATTTCATTTCATCGCAGACCTCCCACAAGATTGCAAGGGATTCGGCAGGTCATTCAGGATAATCTTTCATCTGCTTCTTGAAGTCCTTTAGCAGCGGCCCATCTGAGTGTACCTTTGCTGGCGCACTGAAGGGACAGGGCTCTCTCTACCTACTGAGGCAGCATCTTCCATTTGAAGACAGTGTCATTGTTCGAAAATGCTTTTCTTGATCCTCACACCACATACCATCACTACACGATGAGGCCAGAACCCCCAGTTTTCAGATGGAGACACTGAGGTTCTAATAGTTTGAGACATCTGCCCAGGATGACATAGTATCACACAATTGACCTCGTACTGGAATCACTATTGGGGGGAGGGGCGAGATAAGGGTAGGGGATTAAAAGGTAGAAACTACTATGTACAAAATAAATAAGCTACAAGGATATATTGTTCAGCACATGGAATATAGCAAATATTTTATAACTATAAGTGGAGTACAACTTCTAAAAATTGTGAACCACCATGTTGTACACCTGAAACTTAAATAATCTTGAATATCAACTACACCTCAATAAAAAAAAAATAGTGTCACTCTTAGTACCACATAGCAGGCACTGTGCCAAGTATTTTACATATGGTATCTCCTTATTCGTCCCACCAATTGTATGAGATAGGTTTATAACGATCCGCACTTTACAGCTGAAGAATTTGAGGCACAGAGAGGTTGAATGTCTCGCCCAAGGTCACACAGACAGAAAGTGCCCAGGTCATCAGGGGCTTTGTCTGTCCCCTCTCCCCTGCACAGCCTAGCCTCATAGTGGACGTACAGTTGGTCCCGCAGTTTGTGCGGGAGACCTTGGAAATCCAGGTGGCGGTGCTCACCCAGCATCTCTTGTCCCTTTGCTGCTTCATTCCAGGTTTGGCGAAGCTGTGAATGGCAACCTGGTGGTGGGCACCCTGGCCTGGCCGTCCCCCTGGGTTATCGTCATCGGATCCTTCTTCTCCACCTGCGGGGCTGGGCTGCAGAGCCTCACGGGGGCTCCACGCCTGCTGCAGGCCATCTCCCGCGATGGCATAGTGCCCTTCCTGCAGGTCAGCGGCAGGGGCAGGGTGTGGGGACAGCAGTCCACCGCCTACACCAGCCAGCCAGGCCCCTGCCCAGGGCGGCTACCCAGGGAGCAGGGCCCTGCTGCTCTGTGCCGCCACTAAGAAGAACGGGTGTGCCTTTGGGCCCAACATCAGGGCCATCTCTTTGGGCAGGGTTGTCCACGCTTAGGGGAAAAATGAATGGTCCTCCTTTGGCCTCGTGATTGGGCGGGGACTCAGGGAGGCAGCCAAAGGGCAAGTAAGAGGAGGGTGCTCTCTGTGGTACTTAAAAAAAAAAAAGATTTATGGTAAACTCAGTCATGGCTGCTTGCTGGCCCCCTGCAGCTCCTCATCCATGTGTCCCCTCCTTTTCCCCTTCAGGGATCATTTGAACTGCACTGCACTGGGGTACCAATGTCAGAGTGGGCAAGATACAGCAAAAACCTGGTATCCCCTTGGGTACATTTAAAGGATGAGAAATACAGCATCCTCTCCCTGCCTCTGCCGTACTGGTCTCCAAGACTGGAACAGAGACACAAGAAGTCCTAAGGTCTCAGCCCCCTGTGATGGTTGCTCTGTCCTCAGGTTTTCGGCCACGGCAAAGCCAACGGAGAGCCAACGTGGGCCTTGCTTCTCACCGCCTGCATCTGCGAGATTGGCATCCTCATTGCGTCCCTGGACGAGGTCGCCCCCATCCTCTCTATGTGCGTGCTGGCCTCTTGCCCTCCCCATCATCTCTGGGGGTCTCTCTACCTGGGTCCTTCAGCTGTGACCCTGGACAGCCCACCCAAACACTTTAACAGCCCCACTGTCGTAGAAACCTGTCCTTTGTTATACGGAGATTCACCCCCACATGCACCAGGGCATGTTGTAAGGGGATTTGGCCTTTGAACCTCTTCCTAAGCCCCAGAACGTGACTCGGCCATCTCCGCAGTTTCTTTCTCCCTTTCCTGTCTCTCCCTGTGCTTCTGACTCTGTCTCCCCTTGCAACTCTGTCTCTCCTGGGACCTTTCTGTGTTCTAGGTTCTTTCTGATGTGCTATATGTTTGTGAACCTGGCCTGTGCGGTACAGACGCTGCTGAGGACGCCCAACTGGCGGCCACGCTTTCGCTATTACCACTGGTGGGTGCCCGTTCCCCCTCCCTGCCCCAGAGGACCGTCCTCTCCTCTCCCCCTCACCCCAGCCCATCCCCTCCAGGTCTAAGGATCCCAAACTCCACTTTTCACAACTAGCATGAGAAAAGTCCTGGAGAAGGTCTCCTTATAATCACAAGTAATAACACAACACTGTATAAACGGTCTCAGCCAGAATCCCTCTCCTGTCAATAGTGTGCAACACCTTCCAGTCTTGACAAGGAAACCTCAGTTTCCTCAGCTGTGAAATGGGACAATAACTGCACCTACCTCATAGGCCCTTGTAAGCATTACACTGCTTGGTGCACGGAAGATGCTCCTTACAGGGGCTGGACTTCTGATCATTTTCCTTGACGGCTCCTTATCTTCACAATAGGCCTGTGGGGCAGACAGGGCAGGAATGATCATGCTTGTTCTACCAAAGGGAAACGGAGGCTCCAATAGGGAAAGGTGGCCTAAGGCCACCCAGCAAGACTATGGTACACCTGGCCCAGAACCCAGGCTGCCTGCCCCCCATCTCAGTGCTACTGCTGTGCCAGTCACCTCTTCCCTGGGGTCACATTCCTCCTGGGAGATCTTGCCTCCAACTTTCTCCAGACACTCCTGCCTCAGAACCTCCCTGGCAGGGCGGTCTGGCAGGGTCTAAGGCACTGGGACAGGGCAGGGTGGTGACTTAGGAGTTGGGTGGGGCGAGGGGAGGTGCCCTGGCTGCTCGTTCATCCAGAGGCCCCACGTCCCCGTGGTGCTCATGGAGATGACGGTGTGATTTCCCCTAGACCTGGCTGTAGCCTCCCCGGTCTTGCCCATGCCCCGCCCCATCTAACTCCTGCTGTCTGAGCCCAGGCACCAGTGACAGCCCCACCAGGGCTCAGAGGCTGGCTCTTCCTCCCCCTGTCCAGGACACTCTCGTTCCTGGGCATGAGCCTCTGCCTGGCCCTCATGTTCATCTGCTCCTGGTATTATGCCTTGGTGGCCATGCTCATTGCTGGGCTCATCTACAAGTATATCGAGTACCGTGGGTAAGCGCGGGGAAGTGGGGAGGGCTGGGCGAGACTGAGGGATGGGAGGAGGTGAGGAGGGGAGAGAGAGGGGTGATGAGTGCTCGGGGGTGGGGCGGTCGGGGAGATGAGGCAGGAAGTGGGAGAAGGTGGCACTAGAGTGGAGGGCAAAGGGGGATGGGATGGGATGGGGAGAGACGGAACAGGAGCAGAGGGAGGGGCTGAAGCTTTGAGAAATGGAGGTGGCAGGAGCGACCTCCTTTCTGAGCCTGAGATAGACGGCTCTGTGCCGGGGCGGCCACTTCGGGGTGGACGGCTCTCCCTGACTCTCCTTGGCTTTCTGCCTCTTGCGATCCCCCTTCCCGGCCCCAGGGCGGAGAAGGAGTGGGGCGATGGCATCCGAGGCCTGTCTCTCAGTGCGGCTCGCTACGCCCTGTTACGCCTAGAGGAAGGGCCCCCGCACACCAAGAACTGGAGGTCAGTGGTGGAGGCACAAGCGTGAGGGCTCAGCGGGGGGAGAGGCAGGGAGCAGGGCCCAACCCACCCCGCTTGCTTTGTTCTGGGGTTGCTGAGTGGTGTTCAGCCTTGTCTGAACCCTTCCCACCTACAATACCGAGGCTGAGCTGAGTTCCAGACATTTATTCTCCGAAACCCCACCCGCGAGGCCAGTCTCCTGACCATCTATCCATCCATCCATTCATGCCATCATGTGTTAGAAAAAATATATGAACGCGTGATCTATGCCCTGCCCCCTTCCTGTCTCTGGGGATGTAGTGAGCTCACAGTTCCGTGGACAAGGCATGCGCACAGACAGGTAAACGCAGTATCGTGTAGCATTTGCTCTGGGAGAGGTGAATCTTCCACCTTGAGAGTTATGGGGCCTCTTAGAAATCTCTAGATGAATAACAATCTCCATTTTATTCACGTGACAGTCAGGGCCTAGAGAAGGTCTCAGGGGTCATGGAAGGCAGAACCGGACCCAGAATCTTCACCTCCTGCCTCTCAGCCCAGGGTGCTTTATTAAAAAAAATTTATTTATTTAGTTTTGGCTGTGTTGGGTCTTCGTTTCTGTGCGAGGGCTTTCTCCAGTTGCGGCGAGTGGGGGCCACTCTTCATCGCGGTGCGCGGGCCTCTCACTGTCACGGCCTCTCTTGCTGCAGAGCACAGGCTCCAGACGCGTTGGCTCAGTAATTGTGGCGCGTGGGCCCAGTTGCTCTGCAGCATGTGGGATCCTCCCAGACCAGGGCTCGAACCCGTGTCCCCTGCATTGGCAGGCAGATTCTCAACCACTGCGCCACCAGGGAAGCCCCCCAGGGTGCTTTCTAACTGATTGCTCTGCAAGGCCAATCCCTCTTTCTTCTCCCTCAGGTTCGTTTTGCTAAGAGTAAGGCCTGGAACCCTGAACTATGCCTAGGACATCGTTGGCTTGGCCTTGCTGATGTCTACTAAACTGGGCTTCCAGAGACCGGGGCTTTGCATAATTTGTCTGTGAATCCTCAAATGCTTAGCACAGGGTCTAGCCCAGAGGAGGTGTTTAGAGAAAGCTATTAAATTGATGGTGGCTGGCTGGCTGCAGTGGCTAAATGAATAAGGAAATGAACAGATAAATCAATGGGTAGATGGCTGAATGTGTATGTGTATGGGAGGGTGGTGGGGTGAATAGGTGAATGTGTGAATGGATGGCGGTAGAAGGATGTGTAGGTAAATTAACATGGATATGAGTGGATAACTGAAGGATAAAATGGGTGGGGGGGTGGATGGAAACATGGGCGAGTGAGGTAGATGGAGAGATGGATGGGTGGGTAGATGGACAGATGTGTGGGAGATGGTTGGATGTCTTGATACTCAAGGAAATGGATGGATGGATGTGTAGGTGGATGGGTGGGTGGTGGGTGTATAGGTGGGCAGGAGTATGGAGGTCGTGTGGTTAGTGAACTCACCAGCGTATGGCGTATGGGCGTATGAGTTTATGGCGGTTGGGTAGGTGGTGGATGGATCATGTGACCTCGCACCCTCTTCAGGCCACAGCTGCTGGTGCTGGTGCGTGTGGACCAAGACCAGAACGTGGCACATCCACAGCTGCTCTCGCTGACCTCCCAGCTCAAGGCAGGGAAGGGCCTGACCATTGTGGGCTCTGTCCTTGAGGGCACCTTTCTGGACAACCATCCCCAGGCCCAGCGGGCGGAGGAGGTAAGTAGAGGCCCTGGTGGGGAGGGCGGAAGGATGCAGCACTCAGGAAGGCAGTCCTTGCTCCTTTCCACTTTCCCTCCTGCCACCTTTGCCATCAGCTGGAGCTCAGGCTTTTCTGTCCTCTTCCTTAGAAGAGGAGTCCAAGGGCTCAGCAAGTGAGTTCCTTAGAATCCAACTCGCAGAACCAAAGACGATCAGAGCCGGAAGTGCCCATTTTATGGATAAGAAAACTGAGGCTTAGAGAAGTCAGGTCATTTGTTTAAGGACAGAAAACAGAGACTCACATTAAAACTGCTAGACCCCTACTCCACCTGCCGAAGTATAAATCTTTTAAAGCGTTTTCACATAGGTGGACCCTTTTGGTCCCCACACCAAGTGGAGTCGGCAGGGTGAATACCCCTGTTTGGCCCAGGGAGAAACAGAGGCCCAGAGACGGAAAGCAGCTTGCTGGAAGTCACAAAGGTGGCTGGAAGCATAGTCAGGATTTGAACCCGGGTCCCTGACTCTGGGTCACCTGCTCTTGTTCTAATCCCCTGGTCCATGTCCACAGAGCAGTGTACACAGCCAGTGTGGGCTGGGGCAGCTGGGCTCTGCATTAAGCGTCATTAACAGGTGTCTGGTGGGTGACAGAGGAAGTGGGTTCTGTCGGCGATTCAGGTCTCTCTCCTCTCGGGGCCATGGCTAGAAGTGGAGAGAGGAAAGGGGGCCTGAGGGAGGTGAGATGAGAGGGGGAGGGACACACCTAATGGCTTGCGACAGTTGCTGTTTCTGCCTCACTGGGCCGTTCACACTGATCTGTCAGGGCCCTGGGCTGGAGGCCTCCACTGGTCCATTTAATTCAACTTGCAGTGGCTGCAAATGTGCTGTGTACCAGGCACCAGGCTAGGCCCCGGGGGACGTGGAGAGGTAGATGACCAAATCTCAGCCCTCAAGGTGGTCACAGGCTGGTGGGGAAGAGAGAACACACACAGAAGGCTCTAAACCCGTCCGAGGTTAGAGTGAATAACTGCAGAGCAATAGAACGTGTTGAGTGTTTAGGATCTCTCAGGCTGTATATACTAAGCTCTACTCGCATCATGTTATGTCATCCACCCTCTTCCTGGACGAGGCAGCTGTCACGATGCCCATTTGACTGATGAGAAATCTGAGGCTCATAGAGGGAGGTGATTTGCCCAACATTGCTCTGCAGTTATTAACTCTAACGGAGCACCTGTCAACCTCGGGTGGGCTTGAGAGCCTTCTGTGTACGTTCTGTCTTCCCCACCAGCCTGTGACCAGCTTGAGGGCTGGGGTTTGGTCTTGTGCCTCTCCGTCTCCCCTGGGGCCTGGCCCGGTGCACAGCGCATTCTCAGCCACTGCATGCTGAATTAAACAGGCGGGGGCAGAGATAGAAATAGGAGCCCTCTCTTTTTTTTTTCTCTCTTTTTTATTTTTGGCTGCGTTGGGTCTTTGTTGCTGTGCGCGGGCTTTCTCTGGTTGCGGCGAGCGGGGGCTACTCTTCGTTGCGGTGCGTGGGCTTCTCATTGCGGTGGCTTCTCTTGTCGCGGAGCATGGGCTCTAGGCGCGTGGGCTTCAGTAGTTGTGGCATGCGGGCTCAGTAGTTATGGCTCATGGGCTCTAGAGCGCAGGCTCAGTAGTTGTGGCCCACGGGCTTAGTTGCTCCGCAGCATGTGGGATCTTCCCGGACCAGGGCTCGAACCCATGTCCCCTGCATTGGCAGGGGGATTCTTAACTACTGCGCCACCAGGGAAGCCCAGGAGCCCTTTCTGTTTGACATCAGAGGCTTGGTTAAGAGTGTGAAGGATGGAGTCAGACCCCTGGACTTGAACTTCTACAGTAACATCCATTATCTGTATGGCCTGAAGCAAGTCTTAATTTCTCTGAGCCTCAATTTCCTTACTTATAAAATGAGAGTAATAAGAACACTTCCCTCATTGTGCAGATTGAATGTGTGTTTTAAATGCTTACTGTCATGCTGACTTTAAAAAACTGTTAAAAACCAAATTGTCTGGCTATGCAGAGGGGCCCAGTTTCATCGTGGTTTGGGTGGACGGGTGGTGTCTGAGGAAGGTGACGGTTGAGTTGGGCCAGGCAGAGTGTCATGGACAATGGGGTTGGCCGGGGAGGGGCTCTGGGTGGTGGGTGAGAGCTTGCAGGGGGACTGTGTGAGCAACGGCAGGGCGGTGGGAAGCGTGGTGTCCCAGAAGAGCTCTGACTGAGCAACGGGGAACGGGGGCCATAGGTGATGGGGTGCCAGAGGCCGACATGCTCAGAGCTGAGCTTCAGGAATGGAGGGCTGATGGCAGGGAGAGATGGGGGCTAGGGAGGCTGCAAGGGGCTGGGCAGGGCTAGGGAGGCCTGAGGCTGGTCCTTTTCTGAGCCCTCCCCTGCCCGCAGTCCATCCGGCGCCTGATGGAGGCAGAGAAGGTGAAGGGCTTCTGCCAGGTAGTGATCTCCTCCAACCTGCGAGATGGCGTGTCTCACCTGATTCAGTCCGGGGGCCTCGGGGGGCTGCAGCACAACACCGTGCTTGTTGGCTGGCCCCGAAACTGGCGGCAGAAGGAAGCTCATCAGACGTGGAGGAACTTCATTGGTAAAGCTGTGTGGGCTCGGGGTGGTAGAGGGCTGGGTGTGCGGGGGGTCCTTCTTTGGGCCTGGGGATCATTTCCCAGGCGTAACAGGTATGGAGTCGGCATATGCAGGTGATGGCGTTCAAAGCCTCCCATGTGCCAGGCACTGTGCGGGGAGCCCAGGGACTCAGGTGTGGAGGAGACAGTCTTGGCTCCGGCAGGGTTCACAACCCTGGCAGGAAGACAGTGCAGGGAGTGGGAAGAGCTACAGCTTTGAAGTCGCTGAGGCCCGGGTCTACATCTCCCCTCTGGCCCTTCCTCGCTGTGTGACTGTTCACAAGTGCCTCACCCTCTCTGGGCATCAGATGCCTTGGTAGTAGTGGGTACTAAGTAACACAATAACTAACACTTACAGACTGTGTTCTGTGTGCCAGACAAGTGGAGGCTTTCTCTCATTCTCTCAGCAGGCCTGTGAGGGCTAGGCATTGCTGTCTCCATTTTATTGGTGTGAAACTGAGGCACGGAGAGATTAAGGTCACGCAGCTGGTAAACCCTGAGGCGGCTTTACCGGTAGATCCTAGTTAGAAGGTGGTTGGGAGGATTAAGTGAGCCCTGCATGGTCGAGTTCTTAATCAGAAAGGGCAGGTGTTGTTATCACCACTTGAACGGTGGGGAAACGGAGGCCCAGAGAGGCTTCCCCAAATTCAAACAAGCGATGAGGCCCAGGTAGGTGGGGTTTTTCTGACTCCTCAGCCCAAGGCCAAGGCGGGATGGGGTGGGGGTGGGGTGCTGGGTGCCAGAAGGGGACCAGGGTTACTGTTTTACCGTCTGGCCATCTCTTTGGTCTCCTCCAGAGCTGGTCCGGGAAACCACGGCCGGTCACCTGGCTCTGCTGGTCACCAAGAACGTTTCCATGTTTCCTGGTAACCCGGAGCGCTTCTCGGAGGGCAGCATCGACGTCTGGTGGATTGTGCACGACGGCGGCATGCTCATGCTGCTACCCTTCCTGCTGCGGCACCACAAGGTGCGCATGCGTGTGCGTGAGTGAGCGTCCGCGCGTTTGTGTGCTCGTGCCCACATCCATGGGCGGGGTTTCTGGGCTCCGGAAGCTCCTCCACGTGAGCTCCTGGGAAAGGGCTCCAATCCCCTCCTTAATTCTGAGGTGCTGGGAACTGAAGGTGTCTCCCCTTGCAGATGTCCTTGAATTATAAAGGAGAGCAATGTTTAACTCAATCGAGTGATGCTTTAATGAGGGGACCCTCATCTACGCAGAGGCGTTTTTCAAAACTTTTTTTTTTTTTTTTTTTTTTTTTGCGGTACACGGGCCTATCACTGTTGTGGCCTCTCCCGTTGCGGAGAACAGGCTCCGGACGCGCAGGCTCAGCAGCCATGGCTCACGGGCCCAGCCGCTGCGCGGCATGTAGGATCCTCCCGGACCGGGGCACGAACCCGTGTCCCCTGCATCGGCAGGCGGACTCTCAACCACTGCGCCACCAGGGAAGCCCCGCAGAGGCGTTTTTGTAGGGAGTGGCTGCTGAGATAGAGGACTGGGGGGCTGCATGTATGTGTGGGAAGGTGCGTGGGAAGGGTGAGGGACAGGGTCCTGTCTACGTTCTGGCCCTGGGTCTCCGCACTGCACCTGGGCTGGACCTTTCTGGGTCCCCTTCACCACTCCAGGTCTGGCGGAAGTGCAAGATGCGAATCTTCACTGTGGCCCAGATGGACGACAATAGCATCCAGATGAAGAAGGATTTGACCACATTTCTGTACCATTTACGTATCACCGCGGAGGTCGAAGTGGTGGAGATGGTGAGTCCCCAGGAGCCACCTCTGACGTTTTGGAATCCCTTCTGGACTCTTTCCCTTTGGCCCCAGAACCAAATGGGGAACTCCAACTCCCATCAGCTTGTGATGCTGGATCCCTTCCCTGCACCCACTTTTTAGCCTCTCACGTATTCACCCGAGAGCCCATCCATCCATCCATCCATACACCCTTCTCTCCTTCGTAAGAATAGCCATGTCTAATAATGCTTACTACGTGTGAGGCACTGTACTGTGCACTTTATGTATATTACTTCTCACAGCAATGAATGAAATAGATACAATTATCAGCATTTCCATTTTACAGATTAGGCAGTTGAGGCACAGAAAGGTTAAGTAATTTGCCCCGAACACACACTAAGTGGCAGGGCCAGGATTCAACCCCAAGCAGACTGGCTCTAGAGTCCATGCTCCTCGCACTTACATGCTACAGCCTCTTGTCTGTCCATTTCTCTCAGCTTATTTATCCATTTACCCATCTCTCTGTGTATTCATTAATCCACCCACATATCCATTAATGTATTTATTCACTCACTCATCCATTCATCCATGTACAAAATTCATTCATCTCTGTGTTCCTTTTTATATTTCTCCCCCGTCTCCATTCACCCAGGTAATTAATTAATCCACTCATTCATTAATTCACCCATTCATTCGCCCAGTCCTGTGCTTGGCTGAGGAGGGAATGAGCCGCATTGCCTCCAAAGAGCATCGCCCTCTGCTTCGTCCTTGCCTCCCACAACTGTTGATTAAACTAGGTCATTGGATAGGGAAACCCTAGGTTGGCAGAAAGAAGGGGGCCTGCCTCCCTCCCCTTGGCCTTGCACCGAAGCTCGTACTTTCCCCCCCTTTCCCCTCCTCCACCCCATCTCCACCCCTGCCTGCCCACAGCATGAAAGCGACATCTCGGCTTACACCTACGAGAAGACGCTGGTGATGGAGCAGCGTTCCCAGATCCTCAAGCAGATGCATTTAACCAAGAATGAGCGGGAGAGGGAGGTGAGGTTGCCCTGGCTGGGCTCGGAGAGTCTCAAGCTGCTGCCAGCTCTGGGCGTGCACAGGTTTGGGATGGCCCACTCCTGGCCATTGGCACTGCCACCTTCTGGCACTGGGTTCCCCAGCAGCAGGGGTACACACAGCGGCTGCATCTCTCAAGCCTCCCAGCCAGGATGCAGAGGGGCTTTGGCATGCGTGACAGATCTTCCGCTCACTATGTGACTTCTGGGGCCCAAGGGAGAATAGTGGATGTTAAATATGTATGGATGATTCCTCAGGGGCGTGGGCTGCCAGTGTGGGGGACAAGGGATTATGTGACAGCCCCTTCGAGAGGCTTAGAGAGTGGGTAACAGATGGATATTTCAGGATGCAGCTGATGATGAGAGTTGGGGGCAAACCTCCAACTGGGTTCTCAGGGGTAACAATGATGAGCTCTCATGGGGTATGGGTGTAAGATCTCCCCAGTGTGGGTAATGTGGGACCACTGGCCCTCTGGCATTTGAATGAAAGCCCCACCCCAGGGAGTGGGGTCCTTGGGGAAATGAGCTATGGTACCCTGGGGGTTGGGGACAGAAGAGATCTTGGAGGTGGGTGACAGTAAAATTGTAAGAAATGGCATGTGCTCTGACCAATCAGAACTGGCACTGGACCATAGTGCTAAGGTAGAGCCCAGCTGGACCAGGTGTTAACCCTTTGGTTGCTGGATAGTGGAGAGGTCAGGGGTCCTGGAGAGGGGTTGGAGTGGCCAGGTCAGTGGCGGCAATAGCTATTTGATGTGGAAGCATTGCAATAGTTTAACAACTGGTAGGGATCCCGAAAGTGCACATCCTGGCTGAACATCAGCTCTGGGGGTAGCTCTTTGCAGGACGGGCATGGGTAGTGATTTCCAGCAGAGCTGGCACCAACATGTGTCACTCCCTAGATCCAGAGTATCACAGATGAGTCTCGGGGCTCAATCCGGAGAAAGAATCCAGCCAACACTCGGCTTCGCCTCAACGTCCCAGAAGAGACAGCTGGTGACAGCGAGGAGAAGCCGGAAGAGGAGGTATGCAGCGGGGTGGTTTGGCTCCAGCCAGTGCGAGCAGGAACTTTGGCCTCCGAAGGAGTCACATGTTGTCCCTTCTTTTATCCCTCAGGTGCAGCTGATCCATGACCAGAGTGCTCCCAGCTGCCCCAGCAGCTCACCATCCCCGGGGGAGGAGCCCGAACGGGAGGGCGAGGCAGATCCAGAGAAAGTGCATCTCACCTGGACCAAGGACAAATCTGTGGCAGAGAAGAACAAGGGCCCCAGTCCTGTCTCCTCAGAGGGCATCAAGGACTTCTTCAGCATGAAGCCGTATGGGCCTGGGGGCTAAGGGCTAGGGTCTGGGGTGAGCCTACAGGGTCCTTGCTCCCCATGGCAGAGCAAATGAGCAGAAGGGGTCCTGGCCTGGTAGTCGGAAGACCCCGCCCAGACCTTGTCTTGGTTTCCCCATCTGAGGACTCAGATTGGGCTTGATTGCTAAGGGTCAGAACTCCCTGGGGCAGGCAGTGGAAAGGCGAAGCCTGGGGGGCTGGGAGAGCGGGACCAGTTTGCACACAGGGTGGTTGATGGTGGCTCAGGTAGTCCTCAGCTTCTCCTGCTTTTTCTGACCCCTCTCTTTTTCTTCCTCTCTTTGCTTCTCTTATGTTTCCCGAAGGGAGTGGGAGAACTTGTAAGTGCTTCAGAATTTTTAACTTCTCACCTAGGTTGGCCAGGGTCCCTCCTCTTCTCACTCCACCATGAACCCTCAGTTTGTGCCCCTGACCTCTGGGGTCTCTGAATAGCCCAGCTTGGAGAAGTCTAGGGTTGGTGGTCCCTGGCTTGCAAGGACTAGATCCCAGCAGCCCAGTGCTGGGGTGGGGGGGGCTGGAAGGGCGACTGGATCCAACTCTCCCTTCTCCCAGCCTTACGTGCCTCCCTCCGTCCCTCCCTCAGGAACCAGTCCAACGTGCGGCGCATGCACACCGCTGTGCGGCTGAACGAGGTCATCGTCAAGAAATCCCGGGACGCCAAGCTTGTTTTGCTCAACATGCCAGGGCCTCCCCGCAACCGCAACGGTGACGAAAATTGTATCCTGGGCTTAAAATTGGGAGGAAGCGGGAGGTGGATGTCAGGGGACTTAGGTCCTGGCCCTGGGAAGGAAGAGTTGAGACGGGTCTGCTTCAGAATCAGCACCGCGAACAGGGACGCGAACCCAGCGTTCCCCTGGCGCCCAACACGCGCGGCCCTAATTCCAACGGGAGGGAAGGGGACGGTCTTTCTCCTTGACGAGCGCTCAGACATGGAGTTCCTCGAGGTCCTCACCGAGCACCTGGACCGGGTGATGCTGGTCCGCGGCGGCGGCCGCGAGGTCATCACCATCTACTCCTGAGAGCCAGGACCTGCCACCCGGGCCCGAGCGCGTCCGGCCCGCGCGGCCCCGGAGCCCTCGCCGCGCCCCCCGCCGCTGTCACCGTTTACATACAGACCCTGTGCCCGCGCCCTGGCCCCCTTCCCCGCTGCCTGAAGCCCGGAGGCCACGTCGGTCGGGGCTGACTCGGAGAGGACCGCCCCGCGCGGAGACCAGAGCCCCGAGCGCCCCGTTGGCGCGTCGCCCTGTCGGCCCCGGCTGCCCTTTTTCTAAGCCCGGCTTCGCCCCGCCGGAGGAGACGCTGCAATAAAGGTCGGAGGAGGCGCAGAGAGGAGCGGAGCTGGGGCTTTGAGGACCCCCGGTAGTCCGCGCGGCCCTTTCCCTCTCTTCCCGCGCCCCGCCCCGTCCTCGCTCTGCACCCCTCCCCCGGCGGCCCGGAGGGCGCGGGGTGGGGAGGCTGCGCTCCACCGTCTACGTCACTTGTCTTCGCGCGGCCGCAGGCGCCGGCCGGCCGAGCCTATACATAGTGTACAGGAGACATCGCGTGTATTTTTAACGTCCCCATATTTCTGTGACTAGAAGCGCAACGGACTTCTCTTCTCGCCACTGTCGAGCTCTCCCGCTGGGGGCGCCCAGGGAAGGCGGAGGCCTCGGGAGGCTGGGTTTTCCTTGACGTCCGAGTTTTGAAAGCAAAAGTGCTTTAGGCCCAGGCGGGAGTCGTGGTCCCTCGACACCCCCTCGAC